TATCTATCTATCTATCTATCTATCTATCTATCTATCTATCTATCTATCTATCTACACACATATATATATATATGCAAATCTTACTCAGTTAAGGAATAATCAGGGGAAACATCCAAGGAGGAATTTTAGGAGGACTTAAGATTTTTTTGGGTGGCTTAATTTCAGTAGAGACCTGTGCAAACTGAAGCAATTTTGAAACAAGCTTCTTCTTCCTTGATGTACCTTGGAGCAGCTGCTCCACACTGTCTGTCTGGCAGGCAGGACCCCCACTCGGCCTGTTCCTCGATCCCAGCGATGAGGTTTTGGAGATAAATCACTTGCTTAAAGCATCCCATTGCCTTGTAAATGCTCTTCATGCTGAGGCTGGAAAGGTTGGGATGCTTCAAGAATGGCTATTTCACTGCCCCAAAGTCCCATAGGCTCACAAGGGCTCTTTGGCCAAATCTGGTATAGGCATCAGTTCGCAGAGAACAGAGGCCTAGAGTACTTTAGTACAGGATCACACAAGACCAGTAGTGCAAGATCTCAGGCTGCTAATCTTGTGCGATCTCACACTGCAGTACTTTAGGCCTGTGTTTTTAAAAAACGGAGGGCTGCACAAGATCCAGCGCAAAAATCTTTGAAAATGAAAAGGGTCTCAAGTACTTGGAAGAGGGCAGATCACAACTTGGAATGGTCGCTAAGTGAACTGTTGTAGCTCGGGGATTATCTGTACCCTAGTATGCTCTGAGACACACTGCATGAGGCCTTTGTTCTTGAATTGGATTGGGAGAATGCTCTTCCATGGGCTGAGCATGAAAGTTCTGTTCTCACACAATTTGGGGAGATTTCAGAGGACACTCCTCTCACACGACCTCCAGAGGACACATAAAAGCACACCACGTTTTTTTAAGCCTTCACAGATAAGCAACGAGACACTGACTCTTTCCTTCCTTGGAGCACCAGAAGGCCACATTCTTTCCTTCTACCTCCCAGGAAACAATATCTGATTAGTGGTTTTTAAATAAAAAAACTAACTATAATCTCTCTTCTTGAACTCTGATTGGGAACTAGAAAACTCTTACCCAGAGAGACCACGTTCCTGTGGTTTTCAAGCATGACTTCCGAATGCAGCGCTTTCTGGTCAGGATCCAGCTGAGACCATTCCTCCTCAGAGAAATACACAGCCACCTCCTCAAAGGACACAAGACCCTCCTGAACATGGAAAAAAAAACAGAACAGGAGGATTTGAAAGATCTGTTCATCTTCATCATTGATTTAGACAAGAGGATAGAAGGGGAACTCATCAAATTTGCAGAAAAGACCAGATTGACAGGAATACCAACACTCCAGAAGAGAAGCTCCAGAATAGAAGGATCGACAGATTGGGCCCCAACTAGCAAAATGAAATCAACAGTGAGAAATGTTCTACATTTAGGAAAGAAAAACCAAATGCACTGGCGCAGAATAGGTGATACCTGGCTCAACAAAAGTGCAACAGGGATCTTGGAGTCCTAATGGACAACCACTTAAATGTGAGTAAGCACTATGCTACAATTGCCAAAAAACACCCCAAAGAATCTCTGAATCAAGGTGCAAATCAGAGGATTGGAAATTATTTTCTAGCCCAAAGTACCACGCTCAACACGGACACGCCCCTTGGATTTTAATAGTCTACTTTATTTTTTAATACGATTTGCTTATTTTTGAACTACAGGTTATAAATAAGGCTTTTTAAAAATGGTAATGTGGCAATGTATTTATTTATTTTTCATTAGCCTTGCACAATTCTGGGTCAAAGAATTACCCAAAAATGGGTCTATAGCAGATCTTGCCACTGTGATACATTTATTCCTACTTTTTTAAAAATTGGTTCTTGTAAACTCATAGTTGGAGGAGAACCTAGCAGAACAAGATAACCAGAGGAAGCTATTCCGACTGACAGCAACTTGAACCTGCTATTCTGCCCTTCATGTTGTGGAAGA